TCTTTCCATATAGGAAAGAGCTCGCTGCCTGGCCAGGGCATTAGGGCACTTGCTGGCTGGCGGCAGCGGTGCTGGAGCAATAGCTCGCGTGCTGGCTGCTGGCATTGGAGCAAGGGGCTGCGCACGTACGGTCGTGTGGTGAAGCAGGGCGCTGCCCCGCTGCTGAGGGCAGCGCCATAGCCCAACCTCCATAGCTCGCTGTGGGCTTGGACATACAGTGAGGTGCAGGGGTGGTCTTCAGGTGTACAACACAGGGAGACATGGGAGAGAGTCAAGGGGGAGAGAGAAGGATGATGATGATGATGATGATGATGTGAGGGCACATACCTGGTATTGGCAATGGTTCTGCATGGGCGACATCTTCAAGTACTTTGGGTGCTGCTGACGTCAACAGTTGCATTGTCAATTAGTAGGCTAGTAGTAGCTGTGTAGGGAGTAGGCTGGGCGCCGAGCGCCAAGTAGAGAGATAGGGACTGGATACACAAGTTGGTGGCGGCGAGAGCAAGCTCTCATTGACATTGGCTTTCAGTGCTTCTATTCTCCATGGGTGTCATATTGGTGCAATGCTACTTTCTGAACACTGTGATACGATCTGGCTTTCAATGTCATTGTGCAATCCGTGTATTGTCATCTCGCTTCTGTTAATTTTCCTTGCAACAGTAACTACTCAACTAATTTCTCCGTATTGTTCCAATTTTCAACGGCTGTGATGCCCCGAAGGCCATCTTTATGGGTTTTTTTTTCCCTTTTAAAATTTGGATCATTTCTCGATTTATTTACACCGTATTACACGTGTCACTCTTGCGCATGGGCCAAGCTCATGTTTAGTGTTTTTTCCCCCAGGGCCGAGGTCCCACTAGCAAAAAGGATTGGATGAAGCTGGTGAATCTGGACGCATTTTAAGCAGAGATGCAGAAAAGCAGTTCAATCTTGCCTTTCTGCACCTTTCCACAAACACGTCCAGATTCAGGAGTTCAATCCAATCCACTTTGCTAGCAGGACCTCGCCCCGGAAGGAAAACCAGACAATGGAACCAACGGCCGTAGTAGCTCAGTTGGTACACCCATGAACTGTTTTCAAAATATAGTTCTAGTCCAGATGCAACTGTTTTCAAAATATAGTTCTAGTCCAGATGCAATCAGATGGGCAGAACGACGTTATTCTGAATTCCCCGTGGTCGATCAGCTCAATGATGATATCTCGAGACTGTCACGCGTTTCAAAAGGAAAAAAAAGAAACAAAAAAAAAAAAAAAACTGACAACAAAATTATAGTCCCATTCACGGCTGCAATACGACTTGGGGGGGGGGGGGGGGGGCGCAACGGGGGAGAGAGGAGAAGGAAGGGGGGAGTGGGAGAGTTGGGTTCGTTTCAGGGCTTCTTGAATTCTGGGAATTTCTGAGGTACAGTTTCAGCTATTATATACTGCGTACAGTATGTCCACTAGATACTGTGGCAGCCTTGGCAGGAAAGTTACAAAATGATCATTGAGTCTGTATTTGAGCTAGAAAATTATCATTGAGTCTGCTAGAAAATTATCATTGAGTCTGTATTTGAGCTAGAAAATTATCATTGAGTCTGTATTTGAGCTAGAAAATTATCATTGAGCCCAGCTCAGTTGGTACACCCCGCCTGGACTGTTCAAATACAGACCAAGTTCGGATCCAGATACAATCAGATGCCGAGAATAACATAATTTTAAGAATGACCTGGGGCCGGTCAGCTTCAATGACGACGATATCTCAAGGCCGTCACCCTTAAAAAAAAATTAAAAAAAAAAAAAAAAAGTCCTCTTAAAAAGCAAAAAAAAATCGCCCTCTTAAAAAAATAAATAAATAAAATAAAAATAAAAATAAAAAAATAAAAAAATAAAATTGACACGCATATTCAGCAGAACCTCAGGACGGTTGTTGAACTTATCTTCATCTCTTGTGATTGAAACGATCTTTGTTTGACAGATGGTCTTTCTTCTTTCTCTCTCCAGATATACAGTAATTGAGTCTTAGAGGTGTAGTGGGTAAAGCCAACAAGACACATGGTCCAAGCCTACTCGGTAAGTCAACAAGACACGGTCCAAGCCTTGTCTTGTGCAGCCACGTGGCCACTCTCTCCCGAAAGAATCCAGCAAGCATCCTACAGGGCTTGAACCTGTGACCTTCAACGTAGAAGGTTGTGGCTCTATAAACAAAATAATAAAAAAATTGCGGTCGGACTCTCTTGGACACTGCGTACAGTTATGTACATTCTCTTCCCAACCCGCCTTTCTTCCAAACCCTTGCCGTTCTTCCGATTACCCCCCTCTCCCACAAATCCCCACCACCACCGACCCCGCCTTTCTTGCAAATCCCCATCGCCTCTCTTGTAAAACTGCCATCCATGGGCATCATCTCAGACCTCACCCCTTCCCCCCCCCCCCCCCTTCCTCCAAACCCCTGCCCTTTTTCCCATTTCCCCCCCCCTGCCCCCCCCCCCCCCCCCCCCCTTCCGCTTTTCTTCCAAAACCCCCCCTCCCCGTCTTTCTTGCAAATCCCCACCGCCTCTCTTGCAAAAACCGCCATCCGTGGGCATCATCTCACACCTCACCCCTTCCCCACCCCCTCCATAAAAGAAAACTAATTTGGTAAAATTATTTCCTCGAATAACAAGCCGATTTTTCAGTGAGCCACTCGAGCGACGACAGGTGTTCTTCACACATCCAGCTCTCCCTTCTTTTTTGAATCGACGGAGAGAGAATCAGCCATCGACCTCCACGTTCCCTCCCGCCCTACACTGTTTCCTCTCATCCTATAAATTTATTTTCCCTTTGTCTTTTTCCGGCAAAGACCCATGATATACGTAAGCAGATCCCACATTTAGAATTAGAAGAGACCCAACCCTCCCCCTTCCCCTAACCCCCCATCACAACTGCCATGCGCTGGAGCCCAAATTCGGCTTCCTGACCTCCACATCCACACACTTGCGGTCGAGAAATCCACAGCCAGGTTACCCAAATTTCTCTTACTCCTCAGGGGCACGAGAGCCGACTCTCCTACCGCACGTCTTATCTACGTTCGCTCGTGTACCTGCATGCATGCATGCAGTCTCACAGGGTGGCATTTCGATGACCTCACACAGACTACCGCGAACGCGAAGAGTTCCGACTCTCCTGGTCCACGTGTTTCTGTGGTCAGGCGGTGAAACTGACCAGCGCAAACAGGGATTTGAAAGCAAGGTCATGTTGACGTCATCACTCACCCTCGGCTGAGACAGTTTGAACAAGGACGCCTAGCCCTCCATTCGCCATTTACCTCGTCGGTACGACCCACAGGAGAGAACGTGGGGACCACCATCTGATGCGAGCGCCGTCCCGATCCCCTCCCCGTGTCACTAAACAAAGAAAACGATCACTCTTCAGGACGTAGGAATTCGAAAGAAAGCTAAACGTGGGCATAAAGTGGACCAGATTCATGCTAATACTAGCGAGAACATAGGCGACCAGTGTGACCTGGTGGCCCCATCGTCAAAGCAAAAGAGCAAAGCACCCACAACACAGCATTCCTCTCGTCCTCAAAGAACAGAGGACAGAGAGGAGACCCCTCCTCCTCCCTCTGTCTGTCTGTTCCCTCTTCCGCAAAAGAGAGGAGAAGAGGGAGAATGCCCTCCGCCTCTCCTCACAGATGCTTGATGGTCATCGTACCTAGCCAGCGGCTCACATCGAACAACTCCCTTCACGTCCATTGACACAACACCCTCCGTCGTAAAAGTCAGCAGCTGCCAAGCGAGAAAAATAAAATCTGCAAAAGGAGGGCGGGTCCTGCCGACTATCAAGCGAGCGGGGTCCGACCTCCCTCCCCCCCCCCCCACTGCACGGGATCGAATCCACCGTAACGGAAGTAACCTCAAACGATTCCATCGACAACCAAAGTAAAGAAAATATGCCAAGCGAGCCGCCGTAGTAAGTCGTCTTCAAAGAAAGCACAGCCGGAGAAGATATACCACTTTGATCCGCCGCCTCTTCACACCCTCCCCTCCTCTCCTGTACTCGCACACATGTCACTTCCCTCAACTGGCGCTCGGGTTTCCTGATCCAATTACTAACTGACAAGAAGAGGCGACAACTTTGTGCTCTCTCTCTCTCTCTCTCTCTCTCTCTCTCTCTCTCTCTCTTAGGTATCCCTGTGTGTACATTTACGTCACTTAAGAAGGGGGAGAATCCCCCACCAGTGCAGAATACCCCTCCCAGTGCTGACCTCCATCAACAGCAGTCCCATGACGGCTAACATGGCCAGGCGGCCGTTCCACGTCTCCGCACTCTTGGTCCAACCCCACTCCCATATCGGGCTCTCTCTCTCTCTCTCTCTCTCTCTCTCTCTCTCTCTCTCTCTCTCTCTCTCTCTCTCTCTCTCTCTCTCTCTCTCTGTGTGTGTGTGTGTGTGTGTGTGTGTGCTTTACGTATCCCTGTGTGTACATTTGAGTCACTTAAGAAGGGGGAGAATCCCCCACCAGTGCAGAATACCCCTCCCAGTGCTGACCTCCATCAACAGCAGTCCCATGACGGCTAACATGGCCAGGCGGCCGTTCCACGTCTCCGCACTCTTGGTCCAACCCCACTCCCATATCGGGATAGGAGGGGGAATCTCTCTGCGTTGAGTATCATAGGTGGCAAGAAGCTCCTCGACGCTGCCGAGGGGCACAAGCGCTTGGCGCGCTTCAAGATTTGAGGCCGCCATAGCTCCAACGTACGGAAGAGCTTCGAGTACCGCATCGGCAAGATCCTCAATGAAGGTCGGGTAACAGCCCAACGCGGGAACACGGCCCCAATTGCGAATGCCAGACTCGATAGCCAACTCCCTATATTCCATATCGATCTCCTCCAAAGTCTCAATATGCTCGGACACAAAACTGATGGGAACAGCAAGCAGACTCCTCACCCCTCTCTCCCCCAACTCTCTTATCGTGTCATCTGTATAGGGTTTCAACCATTCCACGGGCCCAACTCTACTCTGGTACGCTAACACGTGCGGGTTTCTGATACCCCTTCGTCCTAGCTCCAGCGTAATCAACTCCACACACTCTTCCATCTCCGCTTCGTACGGATCACCGGCCTCCAAGACGTAAGCCTTGGGGACACCGTGAGCACTGAAGAAGATGGTCACGTCGGTAGGATCGGCAAATTTACCCAGTTCCTCTTCAATAAGATTGGCCATAGATTCAACGTATCCGGTCCTTTGATACCAGGAGGGAATGACAGTATGCTTAATCTTCACAAGAAACTCGTCTTCGCGGAACAACTCCTCCAGAAGCCGAAGGGAGGACCCGCTCGTGGAAATCGAGAACTGAGGATAAAGCGGCAAAACCACAAGCCTCGTTATCTTGTCCTGCTTTATCCTCTCGATTGCCTCCTCGGTGAACGGATGCCAATAGCGCATTCCAACATACGTTTGAGCGGGAACATTCTTTGACCATAAAGCTTCCCTCAGTGCTTCGGCTTGCTCAATCGTTATCTTGCGAAGTGGCGACCCGCCGCCGATTGACCGATACGCTTCTGTACTTTTGGGAGCCCTAAATGAGGAGATCAAGCCGGCGAGAGGCTTCTGAAGGAACCGCAATAACCGAGGGAGGCGAATGATGTCGGGGTCGGCAAACAGATTATAGAGAAAAGGCTGTACGTCGTCCAGCGTTTCTGGGCCACCTAAATTCAGGAGGAGAACGCCTATGTTCTCCGTATCCGCAGCGACACTACTTCGATTATTACCCCCATCAGGGAGCTGTTGAGAAGAGAGGGGATCAGATTCGGCAGTCGGGGAAAGGGCAAATGCCTTCAAATTCCACCTCCCTCCGCTTGATCGTCCTCCTCCCACCGCAGTAGCCGCCATAGCCCATCCTCCTCTTCCTTGCTCGCCCCCTACCTTCCCAATCCGTTTGCCTACTCGCCATCGCCGACCCAACGACGAGGACGTAGCCCATCGCCTTCCTCGCTCCTCCTCCACTACTCTCATCATCTGTTCCTCTTCCCCACCCCTCACCCGACGCTCACCCCAGAGCTTCGTCCGACACTGTGAAACATACCCACCGCCCACATCTCCGATCAGGCCGACCGACGCGTGCAAGGGGAAAAGACCGCCTCTAGGCAGCAGTCTCCTCGGCGGCGGCGGCGGCGGCGGCGGCTGAGACGTCGAAAAATGCCTCACATCCACCATCCACTTCCGCGACTTTCCTCCACCAACCGACAATGTCGGCGCCGCCCCCCTCCCATCCTTTTTCCTGCATTTCGTGCCCCATTTGCTACGATGCAAATGGCTACCTCCCGGGCGCATTGATACGCACTTCATGAACCCTTCTTGATCGTTGAGGCTCCATATCGATCGACGGCGCAGAGTGTTCCCGCCGCTGCTGGAACTTGCCAAGCCGGAAGATGACAGATTACCCAACGACGAAGGGCAACAGATCGACGCCTGAAGAGCGGAACAGGCGGAGCAGGATGATGAAGACGAGTGCAGGGAGGGCGCACAGGAGAACGCCGACAACAAGGCTCGCCTGTCAATCGTCCGCTGTTGTAACCACAGCCTGCTTCTGCAAGCTGGGCCATCTTCCCTCCGCAAGACGTGGATGATACCGCTACGTGGCCGCGTACATCCTGGCCACGTCAGCGCTCTCGGCTTCACACTAAATTCGCCGCCGCCACTACGTGCAGCGCAATTTTTGCCTGTTATAACGGGCAGAACCTCGCCCAATGGCTTACCACCATGAACACATCCTGGGAAACTCAGCACTCTCCCCATCATCGAATCCTTCCCAGCATCTAGACGCTCCTCTTGAACATGTTCTTGAAAAGTCACCGACCTCCTCAGCTCGCTATGGAATCAGCCTTCACCAGTCTGTTTACTGAGAAGCACAGCAATTGTTGACACAAACGCAAAGAGAAGGTAGAAAACAGCCACGTGTCATTCGCACACCCACCGCCTCTAACGCCCGTCACGGCGCCCATCCCCACTTGCCCGCGCGCATCCAGTGGAGATTTGGAGAGAAGAGTGGACTTCACAAACGGGAAGGGACGAGTCGGGGTCGGGGCGCCGCCACACGCGCGCAAATTGCGCATGCCCGCCGCTAGCACTCGGACGTATGTTTGACTTGCCAGTGCCCAGGGCCGCACCGAGATCCCGTATGACCTGATGATGACGTGGACATCGATCCCCAGTCTACTTCATATCCCCGGTGTGTGTGCCTCTCCTTTCCTTTACATGAAACAGACACATCATGGGTTCGTATCCCAATGCAACCAGATGGTTCCAATCACGTTCGGGCTTACAGCCTTCGACACAAGGGAAAATTAAATTAAAAAAAGACGTGAAGGGCGTGTTGGGGGTGAGAAAGATTCGGGTCGGGAAAACGAGGAAGTGCCCTGTAAGAAACGAAGCAGGAGGAAGGAAGGGGGACCTTGGGGGGGAGGGAGGAGAGGAGGCTTTTGTAAGAAACGAAGGAGCGGGGAAAACTCGGAGAGAGGGAGGGGATTCGATGAGCGCAAGTAGCTTGTAGTTATGTTGGGTGGTGCGGAGGGAGCGGAGGGGGACAAGGGGGGTTGCGGAAGACGGGAAGGGAAGAGGCGAGAAGGGAGGGGGAGGGCGGAAGAAAGAGGAGGGGTGACAAGGGAGGCGAGGGTGCAAGAGAGGGAGAGGAAAGATTCCGCGAAGGAGAGGGTTAGAGAACACCTAGTCTTCCCTTGGCGCGGATGTCCGTTGGCATAACAAGAAGAAGCGGCGGGATGCACGGAGAGACTGCTTTGTTCGAATAGAGCTACCCGTCTTCCCCTGAACATAGCCCCCCATGATCAGAATGTCAAGCCATCGATGTCCGGTCCTCACAGTCCTGATGAGGTTGCCTTGTGTTCGAGGGAATTCTAGCAGGTCCCAAGAGGATGGTGGCGCTTGAATGCGCACGACAAGTTAGGACAAAATAAAGAAAAGAAAAACAAAAAAAAACAAGTCAGCAGAGGGGCGACGGGAAGGAGGCAGGAGAAGTCGGGGAGGATGGAGGGGGGCTTACCTCCTGGCCACCGGCGGATGGCGGCAGGCAAGGCAGGGCAAGGTAGGTACACCGCTCGAGGGACGTGCATGTGAAGCGGGTCGGCTCTAGCAGCTTGAAAATTCGAATTGCGGGACCAGGCGTGAACGCACATAAGAACCATAAATTGTCTTCTATCCATCCGCCTAGCTCAATTGGTAAGGCACAAAAGTGGCATTCAGAAGGTCTCAGGTTCAATCCCCAGACTGTGTACCAACCAGGACAAGTTTGGTGGCGCCGCCACTAAGGCCGTCACTCCCATCGAGCGGCATTGAGCAGAGACTGCTGATGTTCGTACACAGCGACTGACCCATGGAACAAGCTCGGTGCTGGTGCTACCCGTTGTCCCCTGGTCTGTATCGCCCACCTCCTCTAGCAGGTATTGCACCTGCTGGTGGGCGCAGCTCCCGCAAATTCCCTCGTTGGAGACTTGAACACACATGTACCTGCTGCAGGTTCCCCCAGGTTCTCCGTACTACTAATGACAATAAAATAGGTCTAAAAGGCCGTCTTGTCCTATCGGCAACGTCCGACCTGTTTTGTACAAAGGACCACATTGTTTAGGCATAGGACATGGATTTTTATTTTTTTCCCCCCACCGGCCTTCCTTCTTACCCCGAAAAAAATGTAGGCGGAAAATTCTTACTTCGTTACCCCCAAGGGGGCGTGGCGGTCGGCGCGTTAGCGCTCCAAGTTAGCGCTATCGACCGGAGGTCCGCTAGCGGTAGGGTTAGCGCTCGCGGCCACGGTCGGTCCAGGCACTCGCGGTACGGCACCAGCACGATGCCATTGCGTGAGCTGAGTCGTCTCGCTCGGCAACATCCGAGCAACCGACCCACGAGGAAGGGAGACTAGACGAAGCGCTGCCTGGCCTATCGGGGCATGCCCTACGTAGCTACGCGTGAGTTAAGTCCATATGTTGGGTTTGTTGACGAGAAGAATTCATATCGGGCGTGCGCCGAATAGGCGCCCGCCTTTGAGACGTTTACGAGGGGAGGAGAGTAGGGCTAGGATGGCAGAGCAAGGCGAAAAGGTGATCTCCCAGGAACCGCAGGAACAGAGGGAGGAAAGGGGTCCGCCGGGCACGGAGGTCCAGCTGTCAGATGAAGACCGGATTCAGTTACTTATCGCCGAGTGTTACGAGGACGGAGTCGTTCCGGAGCGGCTCAGGCATGGAGAATTCGTGATCGAGAACGTGATCAGAGTCTTCAAGGTCAACGCTCAGATAGACCGTCTGACCACTGCATGGCTAAAAGAGCGTACGATCACCGTAATTTTCCAAGGTGCTGCACGTGACCTACTGCTTAAAGTACAGGAAGACTTAGTGCGGGCATATGAGAATGGATGGTTCCGCAGAAAAACGTTCGTTAGAGGCTTTAAGCGAGGGAGGGTACATGGGGAGGGGCCCAACGTAATGTCTTACGTGGCCAAATCCAGGGAGGTGGCACAGTGGTTAATAGCGAAAGGAGAAGACACAGTTGTCATCCGGGGAATTGAATACAGACTTTTATTCAAACCGTGGATGACGAGAGCAGAACTTGACGAACGGAGACGGAATGAGGAAGCAACCAAAATTTGGGTCTCGGCGCTTCGTGTGCCGCTGAGAGCTATGTTCCACATCCCAGACTTGGTAACCCAAGCGATGGGTGCCATACTGCTGCAACACCCTCTTGAACCAAATGCCTCACGTCCTAAACTGATGAATGTGAAGTTCGAACTCGCGAGAGAAGCAGAGGAGAGGTTTGAACCGACCATTTCAATGCAATTAGAAGACGGTGAAATGTACAACGTTGAATTTGTGTGCAAAAACACTCTGTGGTGCACACGATGTCGTTGGTGGTATCACACAGAGTCATACGACTGTCCTAGAGCTGATGAAGGAGAGGTCGAAGCAACGAATGAGAGGCAAGGAGGTGATCTTAATCGGCAGCGGGGCTTCAACCAAGGAGAGGTGGTGTATGAAAGGGGTATAAGAGATGCAACCAGGGACCTGCCGAGCAACCAAAAAGGAACCAGGGAGTCAAACATGGTGGAAGTTAGTAGAGAGCAGAATAGGCAGGGACCAGGGAGATCTTCACAACCGGAAGGCCGACAAAACGCAGGAGGGTTAGCGGAAGGACACGCAAGCATGGTGGGAGGAGGAGGAGTGTTGGGCCCAAGCGGAGGGTATGCAACAGGGACATGCGGAGGCTTCGCACCCATAGTTGGGATGGGGGCAGTGGCTCCGTGGAATCCGACAGGAATGGTTGGAGACCCATACCTTCATCAAGCCCATCAGTACCAGATGCGGCAACAACCGATGATGAGAGGCATGCCACCTAATCAGTGGACGGGAGAAGGCTACATGGGTATGCAAGGGACGAATCAACCTTACCAGGGATATGTAGGAGGCGGAGGGGGTACAGGGTACCCCTCCAGGCATGATATGGCCGCAGGAGAGCTCTTGAGAGAGTTGGTGGAGAAGGAGGTGGCAATCGACCGGCAAGCTCTGACCAGAGAAGGAGTTACACCTGTAGGTTCGTCCCAACATTCGAGTACGGGAGTGAAAAGGGACGAGACAAGAGAGGAAGTGAGGACATTTGTGAGTCGGGAAGGGGTTGAGACGCGGACGGGGGACAATCAACAATACGAGGAAAAATTCATGCTACCCTTGGTGTGTACGATGCTGGGACAGGAAGCCTTCATACTCGGACTGATTCACAAGAACGGGCAAACGATGCTGCCAACGTTGGCCTTCTGCGGTACTCTGGGCCCTGACATGATTGAAGCCCGAGTCCGACAGCTGTATGCCGATAGATTCTGCTTTCGGCTTGTTCAGACAGAGATGATGCGAAAAATTACTATTGACACACCGTCAGGCAAACACATCAAGTTTTACGTGCCTCTGGTGGATGCCAGGATTCCAACCCCTCACGGGGCAGGACTTCCAGCGGTCGGACTAACTTGTATGCCTGTAAGAGTCCTCTTGGACAACTCGACGTCTGATCTATCGAATGTGTTAGTAGAACCGGGAGTGGCTGCAGACTTCCTGCTGGGTCTAAATGACAAAATGTCGTTGGACAAGAATTTGGAGTCGATCTATATACAAGAGGTGCTGCTAGAAAAATGGCAGTCCATGTCGCCACCACGAGCAAGCAACGAGCACAGACCTGACAATATTGAGCGTATTCATGACAACAATGCTCCAGGTACATCCAATGGTCGGACTTAAGGTGGCAACGTGCAACATACAGGGATTGGGAGACACGGGTGGAAGGCAAAAGGGAAGAAGGTTGAAATCTTGGATACACGAGAAGTCTGTGGATGTGATACTCCTACATGAAACAAAGCTCTCAGAGTCCAAGCTGGCGCAACTAAGGGACTGGTGGGATGGACCCCAACTGTGGTCCCCTACCAGAGGTTCGAGAGGCGGTACGGCGATCATGGTGCACAAAAGACTGGAGGCTGAGCTGGTTGACTATAACACAGATCTGTGGGGGAGGTGGTTGTGGGTTAAACTGAAAAGTGAAGGGGTGACATTTGTAGTGGCAACAGTGTACGCCCCCAATGACCCAAAGGAAAGGTTGGAGTTCATGCGAGTTCTCCCATACTGTCGGCCTAAAGAAGAATACATGGTTATTGAGGGGATTGAAATCTCGTCAACTGCCCTGGTTTGGACTCAGAGGCGGACGACGGGATGAAAAGAGATAGAGAAGCCTTCCTGAAATGGAAGGAAGCTTGGGGCCTGCAAGACATCTTTCGGGTGCTGCAACCATCTACTCCAGGCTTTACCTGGTTTGCCAGCACGGCAAATGCAGCAGGAGCTAAACGGCGTCTGGACTTCTTCCTGACAACAGGCGTCTTCTCTGAAGGGGCCATAAGGGTGGCAGAAGAGAACACTTCCCTCAGGGATCACAAACCAGTGATACTAGAGATGCATTTATCAGCCAGCAACAGGAGAGGGCCGGGCCATTTCAAACTGAACACGCTGAACTTAGAAGACGATGGTTGGCGGGAATGGGTGGGAAAATTTTTGGAAAGATTGGCAGGAGGCAAAATAACATTTTGACCAGTACTATGATTGGTGGGATGCGGGTTTGAGTATTATCTCAGCAAGGTTCAGTGTGTACTCAAGAATTGCAGCATATGACATAAACAGGAAGGAAGTTGTCTGCAAACAAAGAGTGGAGGAAGCAGAGCTTCGGATGGGGGAACACCCAATCTCAAACTAGGTATGGACAGAAGAGAGAGCCAAAAGACTGAACGAATAGGAGGATCTGCAGTTAGAGAAGCAAGTAAGGTGGCACAAGATTTTGAAAGAGAAGGGGGTGGTCAGTAATGACAGAATGACTAGGGACAACTTCAAGAGGCTCCTACCAAGACAACAGATGACCCAGATGAGGGAACTGCAATACCCTCACCTTCTAGGAAAGCCTCCAACGACCTCAAATGAAGAGATGTGCGAATATGCTGCAGATTACTTCAAGGATATCTTAACGACACGTAAGTTGGACTGGTCATGGGAAACGGACCTAACGGAAGGCAGCACCTTCTGGAACTCGATGCAAGTGGAGCTCAAGATGGGGGACAGGCTAGATTTGGACAAACCAATTACGGAGGAGGAGCTTAGACAGACGCTGAAAGAGATGGCGAAGAGAAAGACACCGGATGACGATGGGCTCCCAGTGGATTTTTTTCAAACCTGCTGGGAGCATTTGGAATTGGGAGAGATGGTTAATGGAAGGCCCAAAATTCGGGGTTTTTCGCCGCATCACCACAAACAATGTCCTCAAACACTTCGTGAGTAGCTTTCGGAGTTCGCCAAATGATTCTCCGAATTCGGTGTTCTTGCCAACTTTTTTGTTACTGGTCCAAATACGTTGAAACTGAATACAGATATACCCTAAAGCATATAGATATCACAAAAAAAAAAAAAAAAAAAAAAAATCAAAAATTCAGAGAAATCTGGCAGTTTCAGTGAAAAATTTGCCGAAAATGACACCACCTATTAACCATTAGTGTTATACAAGAGGGGAGGCCGGAGCGACGTACGTAACTGGAGAACCGATCTCCCTTCTAAATGCCATCTATAAGATTTTAGTCAAGACCCTGGCCCAGAGACTGGGTAAAGTGCTCCCCAAGCTGGTGGGCAAGGATCAGGGAGCGTTTGTACAGGGTCGGTCGAAATTCGAGAATATCTTGACAGCAGTGGAATCTCTGGAAATTATTGGGAATGAAAACGCAGACGTCGTAACCCTGCTCATAGACCTGGAAAAGGCCTATGACAGGGTCAACTGGACCTTTGTAATGACGACCTTGCGAGTGATGGGCTTTGGCGACTCCTTTTGTAGTTGGACCAAAGCCCTGTACGCCTTCTTTACAACGGTAGTCCAAATCAACGGAGTGACCTCCGAGCAATTCCAGCTATCTCGCTCACCTCGTCAAGGTTGTTCGTTGGCGCCATTACTATTCGTGCTCCAGCTGGAGGTGCTATTATCTGCAATCCGAGAGCATCCAGGAATTCAGGGGCTGGGCCTTTCAGAAGGAGGGGAGTGCAGGGTCAAAACCCTGCCAGATGATCTGTACGCGCTTTCAGCTAACACCGCGGACTCTCTGGAGGCACTAAAGGGATGTCTACACCAATACGCAGAACTATCAGAAGCGGCTATCAACTGGAAAAAATCAGCTTTCTTCCTGCCGGCAGACTACCAATTACAAGTCCAGTGGGGCATGCAGAGGGTAGAAGAGGGGGAGGCACAAAGGTATTTGGGCGTCGAGGTTGCGTTGGGGGATATTACATCCTCTCAGGAGTTAATCCTTCAGGAAAAATTGACTGCCCATATTAGGAGCTGGGGGAAAGCACCGCACCTATCCTTGATAGGAAGGGCTCTAGTGATTTCTGCATTGGCCTTCTCTCTTCTGTGGTATGTGCTTAGGATGGTAAAACTCTCTGACTCGACAATAAAAAACATCAGAGCAGCAACCAGGCGCGGTGTGGAAACCCAGAGCGGAGGAGGATCAGGGCTATCTGGCAAAAGTGGCTTGGGAAACTGTGTGTGCAACTAGAGAGGATGACGAGCTAGCCGTGACAGATCCGGGAATACAAAACGTGGTATTACTGGCTAGCTAGCTAACTAGGGTGGCAGAGATGACTGATCCCCTCGATTGGTGTAGGCTAGCTGAGTATATTCTCGTGCAGGAATGGGGTTTGATTCGCCGCGCTGATGTCTGGGTGGCATTTATGATGGAGTTTTTTATCAACAAGAGAATCAAATCCTCATTTTGGAGGAATGTAATCAAAGCCCTGGAAGGAGGTTAAGCCGAACGTCAAAGAACCCCCAAGGTCCAAGGAGGAAGTTAAAGCTCAACCTCTGTTTAAAAACTACCTGCTGGTTGACAACAATAGCGCCCCTTTCTCTGCAACAACAAGGCCAAGAGCATTTGGAAAGAAATGGGTGCAGAGGGCAGTGTCCACCCACCATTGGAGAATTGTGGAACGATTTGACAAACCAGTGGCACAACCCGGAGCACCTGAAGTCGAAGCTGGGCAGACCACCAAATCAAGAGAAAGACTAGGGAGGTTACTGCAAGCAAATCCTACAGCCTGGAAAAGATTACCAGGACCAGAAGGCGTGAACCTCCCTGGTACTTGGTTCCGAGGAACAAAGGAGGGGGAATCAGGAAGGTTCTATCAGCTGCAGGAGTGGGAAGACGACGGAAGTGGTTACTGCCATATGAAAGAGTTTAGCAGGAGCGCCCAGAAGGATTCAGTGCTGAGATTATCCCAGACGGTGGTTCACACAGGGCTGGGAGGTCTTCGAGAAGTCAACGTTCGTCAGCTGAGGGCAGGCTATAGGCAAATGTCAGTATCCTTCAAGCTGGAAGCAAAAGGCACACCTATATCCTCACTCAGAATCGATCTCAATATGTGGGGTTGGGAAGTGAAGGGTGAGGTGGTAAAAAATCTGTGCAATCTGAAACCGGCAATGGCACTCAAAAAGCGAACGAAGCGAAGCTTGTTAATGGGAAAGTTAATCCCCAGGTGGAAGACAAAGCAACCGTTCCTGCCAACGACAACAGAGGAACAACTGGTCCGTTTGTGGAAACAACTAGTGAACATGCCATCTCATAAAATCGCCTCACTCTTATGACTTTAATCTCATCTAGCAGTCGCCACGACGAAATGGCTTCAGACTAGAGGCCTGCCCGTGAGATTGGAATGTGATAGGTGCTTGTGGCCAATAGAGACAATGACCCACATGTGGTGGGACTGCCCCAGATCAAGTGGTGGCTATGGTGGTTTGCACATTGGGAAAGGATGTCAGGGAGGAAAGTGAATCAGAAAATGGCATAGGTATTACAGGGGTTCACAGAACGAGGGAAAGCAGGCAGCAAGGGATGGGCTTATATAGCTCAGTCGACCCGGGCAATCATGATGTGGGTCATCTGGCTGGACAGGAACGGGAGAAGATTTCAGTCCCAGAAATGGTCAGAAGCACAGGCGGAAGGGGTGTTTTAGAACCCGCTGAAGCTGGAAATTCGTGCTGATTGGAGGAGGAAGGTGCTACAAGGGAACAGACTGGCTGGGCTGTGGTGGTTTGGGGAAACATGGGCAGCTTCAGGAGCCCTTGCAGAAGTGAGAGGGGGCAAACTGATTATCTCACCGTGGCTGGATCAGGTAGGATAGTTAGGTAGGGTAGGAAGCAACCTGGGTGCTCGGTTGCTGCTCACATCATGTCGGTCGTTGTAGACATTGGAAACAATAGAGCATCAATTAGGGAGGAACACGGTTCCCTCAGCCGAAGTAGGCTGAGTACAGGTTGACTTAGACCTGGTAGGCAGGGAATAGAGTAGGGGAGGGTAGGTTAGTGAGGGTTGGGCAGGATTCCTAGGAATAAGAATTACGAACAAGTTGATCATTGATAATAAGCTTAAGGTGGTAGAGTTGGTACAGAGGAAGGTCCGGTTAGAGAGAGTGCAGGACAGTTGTCCACATAAGCTAAACCGGCTGATGCTGTCGGGATAACTCCGGGTGGAATTGTGAGGGCCCCGACCTCGTCCCATGTTTTTTGGAATTGAATGGAAGTATGTTGTAAAAAAAAAAAAAAAAAAAGTAGGCACGTTCTATTCGAATTACCTTCGAAATCACTCTTTTCCTTTCGAATAGAACGGATGGTCAAATACACCTAGGAGCAGTCAAATACAACATCGGTACGTTGTAATAAAATACAATGTTTGTGCATTTTATTCGAATACAACATACATACATTCTATTCGAATACAACATACATATGTTGTATTCAAAGTCTATCTAGCTTTACCAACCGGGCTGCCGGGCCACCCCAGGTCGCCCCGAATGGCGC